AAAGGGGTCCAGCAGCCCCATCTTATTTGGTGTGCTAGATAAATGATACTCGGGAGATGTGTAATGAGCTACTGTCCACAAGGAACATGCCTAATTTGTTGCTGAATTTGGAAAATAATGTGACAGGAACCTGCTGAAGGGGAAAGGATGGTCTTACATAGCAGTAATTTGAAGTAATCTCAGAGGAACGGGTTCTCTCTCACCAAGGTTCTTTGTGATATTGGGAAAGCTACATGAAATGAGTTCCTGCACAGGTGGCTGTACAGCAGTTTATGACTAATGAAGGCAGAACTGAAACAAAGTTGGTCGCACCAAGCTGATATTATGTAATTAGCATAAGCAACAATAGTACATGGCATGAAGTTCAGTATATTGTGAAAGTCTGCCAAGGTTCCTAATAGTGGAGAAACTTCACCTGCCATGAAAACTGAATCAATGCCACCACTCCTTTCTCTTTTATTTTTACCCTTACTAGTTGAATTCAAGCTCTGTGAGTTGTGTATCAGCTAAAAGATTCTTATTCAGGTACTCACACGTCTGCACACCGAAAATTATAAAATTAACTAATATTCTCAGTCATCATACAATTATTACCCTTTTCCCACGTCTTTTTCCTGTGTTAAAAAAAACAGTAATAGAAAATGAAAATGTTCATCTGGACAAAAAGTAAGATAAAAGAGAACGAACTATATATTTTATCCCATGTTCACAGTGGATAGGAGAAATTGTACCAAAAGAGATATATGTTGAGAAAAATTCATACAATGAGGCTAGTGAAGCATTATAATAAATTCTTTAGGAAGATTATGTAATAGCAGTACATATTTAAGAAAAAGTTAGACAAGAAACGGCAGGCAGGAATGGCACAGGTACACTTCATCCTACTTTGAGCTGTGAGGTCTAGCATTATAGAATGTCTCATAGTTCTCTACAGTCCTATCCTTGTGTGGGTTTTTTTAGGATCTGTATGAAAACAGATGGGAAATTAAAACATCTATGGAAAATTATGTCTTTCAAATTTGAGATATTTTATTGCAACTTTTTGAAAAATTCACTATGGGAAATATTACAGTGTTTTCATTTTAGCTTTTTATTCCCTCTTTGTTACTAAAAACTGAAAAATAGAAAGTTTGAAGAATGATTTGTGCTGTGCTCATGAACTCTGTACAGCACTGGATCATACTCTAAGACCTTTTTTTCTTAGCTGTAAATTATTATATGCTTGTATAAATAAGTTATGAGTTTGCATTTAAATGCATTTGAATGTAACAGATGTTATGTGTATATGGTAAAAAACACCTTTAAAAATTCCTGATAAGAGGCAGATGCCCCAGACAGATTTAATCACTTACAGATAAGAAAGCCCCAGTGACAGAACAGCACCAGATAAGGAAATAAGACAAGAGTGCCTCACTTATTTTCATATGGTTCTTTCTTAGACTACTATATTTTTGTTCTAAAGTGATTGTCAGAAATTGTGCTGCCCTTATTTTTTACATCATGGTAAATATCCAGTGTGATTAAACAACTTTATATCACCAGTGACATTAAAGAAAGGTGATATTTCAAAGTTAATTGATACTTTCAACATTCATCCTACTTTCTTTAGCATACTTCATACTGCAAAATTTACATATAAAATAAAATCTCATTCACATTTTAATCTGGTACCTCAGTGAGAGTTCCATGTGTTCAGCATTGAGACAGACTTCTCCTTGGAGAGTACTGTGAAGAAGATTAGAGGATTCACAGCCCGCTGTGGTTGAATAACAAGGAGGATTGTCAAAGAAGCTGTTGTGACAAACCTTTGAACTAAACAGGAGGAATCTCGTGCAGCCTAGATGATTAAATTTCAGTCTGCATTGCATCAATAAGTTTGTTCTGAGTCCGGTACCAGTAGCTAACTCTGAAAGATAGTGGCTTCCTTGCACATTGTTGCTTCTATATGTTTTCCTGTATGAATACAACATGAGATCTGGGAAAGGGATGATCCCTGCATTTTATTTCAAGAAAACTTGCTTAGGGCCAAAACAAGCGAGGTTTTTGTACAAAGACTCTGAACTAAGGGAAAGTAATTAATTCCAATTGAAAGTTTTATTTACATGGTGTACACATGTTTATTAATGCTTATGGCCTATTCTTGCTGATATATAAAACCAAAACCAACCCAAATATTATTATATCATTTTTTTTAAGTTAATGAAATATGTAAGCAAAAAGATAGTAGGACAAAAGTAACATCAGCTAAAATTCAAATTGTATTGTGAAGAATAAATCAATCCTAAAATAGAATAGAAGTAAAAATATCTTTTCTTCTTTTTTTGTTGCAAAGAAAAGTTAATATATTGCCAGTATTTCAAAACGTGCAGCAAACAGAGAATGATATAACATTCTGGATCACTAAAGATGCATCTCTCTCAATCACTTTTCCTCCTAAAAGAAGATGATGGGGCAGAGGAAGATACGTCTTTCAAGACTGATACTGAAAATTAAAATTTAATTAAGAGCTTTTTGAAATTCCATGGAATCTAATATGTCAACAGCTTGTTTCAAGACTGTAAGATAAAAAATTTATCTTAGAAACTCACTTTCTTAGCACTTGAGCTGTTGAGATTTTTGGCAGTAGTGGACCCAGTGGTACCAATACAAGTGAAGTCACTCATTCACTTTCCAAACCTTTATATATTTCAAGTTTGTTTGCTGAAAAGGATTTCCTGTCATGCTGCACCCATTCTCTTACATTCTCAGGAATCACTGCCTACAATAGTTTTCATTATCTTAGCTAGTATAATCTTGAAGTTTATCACACTTGTTTCAACTGCTACTCACTCATATTAGAAGGCAGCCTAGAATCCCAGTCTTTAAAGGCTTAGAAATTTTCTTCAGACCTTTAACTTACACTAATTCATGGTGTTTCTATTCAATTTTTTTTCTTGCTACAATACAGTTCTTCAGCTCAAATACCTTTTTTTCCTACCTGGTTCTCCACCATAATTTGTATATATAGGTAATGATCCTATTGCCTCACAATCTGTTTACTGTCCTTTTTAAAGCCAGGTTCTCAGAAGCCCTTATCGTGCTACGAGACTTTATAGTTTCTTACGTTAGTTCCCCTTTCGAGTATAGCTGGTCAGAATAACTCTCACCATTGGCTTATGCACCAATATAAATGCTTCCTTCACTGCCAATATGTGAGGTGCATTCTAGGGTTACACATGCACCCGTGTTTTTCATACCCAGATTACAGTATGGCTCATAGGCACTCTGCTGCTGACTAAAACACTTGGATGTTTATTCTTTTGTCATCTGCAATTGATGATCCCACCATTTACAAAATAAATTCTTACAATTTGTTCTTAATTGCATTTCTGCATTGTGTAGAATTAGATTTGCTCTTGTTTCTACTACTCTGGCTAAATAATTCAATTTTCCCTGTATAGAAATCAGTCCTACTTTTTAATCCTCCCAATTCCATGTCCTATCAAACTCCATTAGCACACTACTACATTTTGTACCAACACCATTAAAGAAAATATTAAAGTTCAATCCTAAAACACCATAAGCTTCCTGTGTAGGTAAAGTAGAAGGATAGGCTCCTTTTGCAGACAATTCAGAACAGAAAACTACCTTAGTCATTCTGACCTTCTCCTTAGGGAGGCCTTCTATTGAATATAAAGGGAGCATAATCAGAATAGCTAAAGTTAGCTTTTTGGAATATCTCTGTTGCTGTACCAAGCAGATGACTAACTTATTTTTTTCTGTTACAGAGAAACATTAGGTTTCCTGGCATTTAGGTTGTGTGAGCTTAGACTTGGAACTGGGGCCAGATAGAGGGTTCTGATTTCTGTAACATTACCCACACTGGGATTGTTAGCATAAATTGAGGATGTGTTTTTGAATCAGTACTTTTCATGATGCCTAGAACTATATTTTTCTGTCTCACTGAAATCTTTCTCAGATATACCATCATGTTTTGTGGTAATTTGTATAGCTATGTGCTCTCACATCCTTCTGAAAATTAGTTATTTGAATCAGAAGTTCTCCATAACTTATTCAAGACAAAAATTTATTTTTTTAAAGACACAGGTTGTAAATACAATCATAAATCATAATATCAGTGCTTCATAAAAGCATTAAAAGTTCTATTGCAAGATTAAGGATTTTATTTCCAGGTAGACAGAAGTATCTTAAGTGCTGCAAAAAGAAGAGTTATAACTGAAATCAGCAAAAAGTAGTATGGATTTTTTTCAGGCAGCAGTATACATTTATGAGATACATTTTCTCAGGGGTCACTTTGTAGATAAAAGATGCAGTTGAACTCAGGTATTTGGTGTTCATGGCCAAAAAGCAAGAAATAATTAAACTCTAGATTGCAACTTAGAGAAGGGTAAACTTGATTTATTCTGAAATAACCTATTGCATTTCTTGTTCCTTGCTTTTTTTGGACTCTTAGTACTGAAAACTTGAAAACCACAGTACTTAACAGATGTTACATATATTAGCACACTCAATACAGTATTTGCATGGCCTCTTCTGTCAAGGCCATTTTCTTCCGTTATGCTATAAGTGTTTAAATCTTTTCTCTTGTCATGGGGAGAATTATGGCACTGTAATTTTATTCACTAAACAAATAAGTTTAAACCTACGAGTTAGAAAGATAAAACTTACAAATTAAAAACAAAACTACATTATTATTATACTTCTATTGTTACATATGTTGCTATTGTTAAACAAAATATGTTTAAGGTAGTAACAAAACTGTGTGCATAGTACACGAGTTGTGGTCCTGACTTTTTAATTTCCTAGGCCATGTGAAGTTATTACTTCTGCAGGGAATAAACATTTCTGCTCTGTAAAGGACTACATGGTGTAGTAAGCGACGTAGACCTGGGCCTATTTTAACATACTACACACAGGTCAGAGATAAATTTACTTAAAGAATAACATATCAGCTTAGAGACAAATCCTAGCACTCAGCACAGCTCAGCACATGAAACCGAATGGTAAAGTATCTTTCTGTCCAGCTAAGCAGTGTCTTAGTAAGGGAGCAGATTTACCTCCGACTATACAGATCTGCCCCTGTATGGCACAAACTATTCAGCTATGTAACACAGGCTGAAACAAACCAGGAATTGATCGATATCCACAAGTTTGATCATCCCCTGAGAGATGATGATCTTTCATACAGAGAATAAAACCAAAGAGAACACAGTATGAAATCAATAGAGTCTGTAATTATAACTGTGAGGTGAGAACATAATTACTGATTCAAAATGAGGCATTATCTCCTTAACAGACCATGCTAAAAACTTGTCATGTTTTTGTGCTAAAGGTTAGTCAACATGCTAAAGGTTAGTCATACTAACCTTTCTCACAGGCACAAGATCTGAAAGTCTGAGGAGTAGCAAACCAGAACCAGAAAACATTGCAATGTAGTATGATGGACAAATTGAAATGATTAAGTATGTTTTTTTTCAAAGAGAATTAGCTTAGCAGGATGTCTGACCTGGAAAATGTACTCTTGTTCCTGCTAGCTGTCATGTTCTGCTGGAAGCTATGTGCCTATGTATATGAATACATAAAAAATATATTAATAGAGTTAATAAAATCTTACCACATGAAGGAGCACACAAATAACAAAAGAAGCTGTCAAACAAAAAAGAGAGGAGAAAAAAGAGGAAAGCACCTCCACTCTGACAGGGAAATAATCTGAGGCCGGACAGGAGGTGCTGAGCCAGACCCTAATTTCCACAAAGAGAACTGCATGCATCTGCACACCACTGGTTCACGGCAAAGCATCACCTAATGCAAGAGATGGAGTCAAGTTTATTAAAAGTGATTTAGTAAAGTTTGAATGGGCTTCATAAGCCAAGACAATTTAAAGTGCACCTCCACACAAAGCACATGCACAATACACATCTTCAAACTAGCAGTGTTCAACGTGTAGCTTCTTACATATGTATTAATCAGAGAAAATTTACAGTAAGCATTTAATTACTAGAAAACAGTGGAAGAGGAGATAATGTAAACCAAATGAGAAGCAGGGCAAGGAAAATCAATTTCTCATCAACTCTGGGGCAAATAACTTTAAACAAATTCACATAGTTCCTAATCAGTACCAAGTAACGATGTGGTTCCTTTGGGCTACACTGTAATGATAAAGCGCTAAATTTATTATGAGACTTTCACTTTCATTAGAAAAGCTATGAAATAACAAGAAAATCCCACACATCTTATAGTTTATCCCTAGAAAGCAGATAGAAGGGGCCTTTGGTATGACACTTGTGATAAGTGTATTTTACTATAGTATAGCTAATGCCCTGAGCAAATACAGCAACAGCAAAGAGTAATCATTATTTGAAATTCTTTACATAAAAGCCGAGAAACTAATTATGACATGTTAGCTCAAAACAAGAAAGGATTTCATTACAGTGCAGATGGCCTGAGCAAAGGGAATATGTGACACAAAAGGAACTGTGATGAGATTACAAAGTATATCAGAACTGCTTGATTAATCTCCTCTCTGGGGACTTTAAGAAATAGACACTACAGAAGACTTAAATTGGAGGAATGATAAGCACATACTTCCAGACTTCTGCTTCTTCTGCTTTTAACAGCTTATCTCTGTTTTATCCAACGATTTTATTGCTGAAGGATTTTCACATCCTTAAATCATACTTCTTTGGCACCATAATACATGTTGTGTTTCCAGAAAACTGTGCTTCTCAAAAAGCTATACACATCCCACTCTGACACTCTCCTTTTTTAGTTATAGGTCCTTCTGTCAAGAACTTCAAAACAGGTTTAGGTCTTGAGAAGACATTGTGTTTATTCAAAGATCATAGTGTTTTTCATTTCTTCCCTATCCAAAGTGCTGTCATACCACTTTCCCTTGATGCACCTTTGGGAAGGTCTTCTCAAGAATCTGGAAATTTCAGACATGCTTGACTCGTGGTCTGCCTCTTCTTTTGCTGTAACTTCCACATCCCCATGGTAATTGGGACAGAGCTGGAAAGCTGTTAGGATAGAAAGAACAATTCTCTGATGTACTCCCTGTATTGGCCATAGCTGGCAGGGTTTTGGTATACAGGGGTGGCAGTTCTGACCTGTGTGGGAGGAGGCCTTGAGCTACCCTGCACCAGTCACAGCCATTTCCAGCCAGCTCTAACACCACTGTGTTACACCAGCTGAGAAGTATTGAGTCTAGGATACAGAGGAAATGCCATATTCTGTTCTCCATATAGAGAAAGTCCAAATGCACAGCCCAGCTGCCAGCTAGGTGGCACTTGAAAACAGTCTCAGTTTTCATAATCAAAGAGTAGCAAGTAATTGAGGACAAAATTTCAAGAATTAATAAACCCAAAAGAGTAGATCAAGAGTCACTCTCACCTAGATTTTCTAATGGACTGTGCAGCATGTATAGATCCTATTAAAACCATTTGTTTCAGTGCAGAATGTGAGCTTGCAGGTGTTGAAAATCAACAGTCCTCAGGTTTGAAGAAATGCTGTGAGTGCTGAAATATTAGCTCAATGCTACTTTGAGTAATCCTGAGTAAACTCTCAGTAGAAACAGAAGAAACTTAGCAAGAATGCCAGTGTTTTGTTTCCACTTCGTAGAACAGATACATTTTTTTTACCTCGTGTTAGCTAATACCCATAATAAAGTACAGATGAAATCATTTTTCCCAATATTAGGAAGCATAAAGTAAGCATAGTCTTTCCTCCCTCATCTGCACATCAGTCTTAAACTCGGTTATGTCCTGTCATCATTAGGATATTACCACATAATAATGAGCAAATTTTTATGCACAGCTGGGAAGACCGTGTCTTGTATCTTAATGAATACATAGGATAAGCTCTAGGCCTTACAGTAGAACCTGGTGAAAAGCAGCAGAGGGAGATATTAGTGCAGTGGGCTATACAAAGCACAAGGTACCCTGAATTCCTCTGCTTGAAATATCACATAGATTACTTCACATAACCAGCAATATCAGTTGATATAAGCAGAAAGCAAAAGAGGTTAACTTAGGTGTCCTCTAAGTGATGTGAATAAGCACTGTGGCCAATAAAGATCCAGTCTTAATGTCTGACTTCTGCTCAGAAACAGAATTTGTACTGTTTCCTTCCACTGCCTTCCAGTACATTAAGCTTTTTTTCCTTTTGTTTTAAGCAGCGCACAGAAGCCAACACCTTCAGGTTTCCAAACAAACGAGTATGCTGATGCCCAGCTTCAAGAGATTGTCAGACAAATGCGGGAAAGGGCAACAGTCTACAAAGAAAAGCTGAAAGACCCAGTGCTGTCCTCCCCTGAAAGCAGTCCTACAGCTTGTAAGTGACTTTAGAAATAGCTGTGCACTTGTTGAATTTAAAGATGACAATTATTTTGTGAGAACAGAAAATACTGTGATAAAATTTTCAAGTATAGCATGTTTACTCGCTGAAATGGATCCATTTGTGCCCACTGAAGTCAGTTTATCTTTATGAGTCCGCAGTAAGCCAGGTCCCTAGGTACAAATTCACTTTGAACCCCATCACTGAAGAATTTGGGGGAAAAAATCTTGAGCAATGTCTAGAATCATCCCTGTCAAGAAGTTTTATATATTTCAAAATAGCTCCTAGACATGTTCATTCATGGGGATGAATGGGAAACATATGAAGAAACATACATATCTTATGAGCAGATATTAGTCAATCTGAGATTAGATCTGCTGTATAAAAATAAAATTTTAGCCACAGCAGCAATCTTCCGGATACATTGAGGACTATAAGTGCATGCTTTGAATAGAGCAAACTCATCTGAAATTAATTAAACATTTGCTTTTGACAAAATATGAAACATAAAACAAATACCATTTTTTTTACTCTTTAGAGGAATGTTTGACTTTTTTTTCCTTTTCACAAAGATTTGAGTGTGGTGATTCTATAGTCTGACATTTTGTAGAAGCTATTTATTGCTTACGTGTTTTTTAATAAGATGGTAAAATAGTATCTGAAATATTATAAACTATACCAGTTGATAAAGGAATTACTTTTTAAAAAATTATTTCTCTATTCATTTACCACTTTTGTTCTCCTTGTAGCAGATACAACCATTAATTTCCTAAAGTATTATAGATCCAGTTTGCCAGTTTACTGCTAGAACTGTGTATCCTACTCAGAGGTAAAGCCACCAGAATTAATGGAACAACTGTGTGGACAAAATTATCCAGCCCAAAGATGGAAAAACTGTGCTCAAAGGAGTGCCACAACATTTTTGTAAGCCTAGAAACATACAAAACTGTAGGCTTCCCATTAGTTTCACCTGTTGCATCTTGCATATCAGTTCTCAGAAGAGGGGAGAGATCAGCCCATAGCACAGACATCTTTTCTTATCTCCCTCTTAGCTACACGCATTATTTGCAACAGTCATGGAAAAGATAAATGCCTGGTTGCATTAATGAATGCTGAATTATGAATTATCTGATTTATTGTAGTCATTTATGGCATTAATTGTGCACACTGTTCAAGGAAACACAGTAATATGTATATTGCACTCTGTAACATGAAGTATCCTGTTCTTGACAGCAGATGTACATGATTATAGCAGTGGTAATTTTATGCTCCAGTCTGTTTTCTAATGCATTCAGTATTATAATGAATTGTAGCTTTAGTCACTGACAAGTGTTATTAAAAGAGTTTTTAAAATTATGAGGCTGTTGTGCATGTTAAAACAGGGTGTAGTAATTGAGTCATTATTAAAATGTCACTCTTTGTGGCCTTCTATGTGGTTAGCACCATCAAAGAAGAAGCCTCCTCCCTCACCAAAAAAAGAAAAAAAAGAAGAAAAGAAAGAGGAAGCAGAAGCAAAGCCAGAGGAGGACCATTATTGTGATATGCTGTGTTGGAAATTCAAAAAACCTCCACTGAAAAAATACATGGAGTATCTTCAGCTACCAGACAGCATAGACTCATACACAGGTAAATTAAAAGCCTTGCAATAGAATGGTGTAAAGGTACATGGAAGTGGCCTCGTGTTACCAGTTTGCTATTAAGAGGGATGCATAGATCCTTCCCTAAAGGACATTCATTCTGAACAGGGAAAAGACATGTAAAGTGACAATAGTAGCAAAGATATGGAAAGACAAAGCGGTTTCTCAACTGCCACAAAGCTGGTATGCAAACCAATCACAATTAAAATCCAAGTCTTCTACACCAACCATATCCTGGGCTGCATCAAGAGAAGTGTGGCCAGCAAATCAAGGGAGGGGATTCTCTCCCTCTACTCCACTCTTGTGAGACCCCACCTGGAGTACTTCATGCAGTTCTGGGGCCCCCAAAATAAGAACGATATGGACCTACTGGAGCAAGTCCAGAGAAGGGCCATGAGGATGATCAGAGGGCTGGATCACCTCTCCTATGAGGATAGGCTGAGAGAGTTGGGACTGTTCAGCCTGGAGAAGGGAAGGCTCCAGGAAGACCTTATAGTGGCATTCCAGTACCTGAAGGGGCTACAGGAAGGCTGGGGAAGGACTTTTTACAAGGGCAGGTAGTGACAGAACAAGAGTTAATGGCTTTAAACTGGAAGAGGGTAGATTTAGATTAGATATTAGGAAGAAATTCTTCACTGTGAAGGTAGTGAGACACTGGCCCAGGTTGCCCAGAGAAGTTGGGGCTGCTCCTCCCTGGAAGTGTTCAAGGCCAGGTTGGATGAGGCTTTGAGCAACCTGGTCTAGTGGAAGGAGTCCCAGATAGTGGCAGGGGGTTTGGAACTAGCTTATCTTTAGGTCTCTTCCAACCCATACCATTCTATGATTCTGTGATTCTTGATCTACAATTTGTCCCATTCATAGGGTCAAATAATCCTGTCAGTTATTTCATACACCAGCAGTACGCAAAATGTATCAAGTTCCATCTTATGTCACTTTAGCAGCCTGTGACACTTTAAAAGGAGAATGGTAGGTTTTTTTGAGCAGACATGTTTCCAGAGACTGGACTAGAATAAAAGTGTCTGAAAGAATGAGAAAAGATTCTCATTTCATGCTTGTAAATTCAATGTTTGTTTCTTTCAGATCGCCGTTACGTAGCATGGCTCATGATTGTGACAGTTGCCTATAACTGGAATTGCTGGTTTATTCCCCTTCGCTTTGTGTTTCCGTATCAAACACCAAGTAATACAATATACTGGTTTATCATTGACGTCATTTGTGACATCTGCTACCTGTGTGACTTACTGATTTTCCAGCCCCGAGTGCAATTTTTAAAAGGTGGAGATATAATAGTAAGTATTAGAAGTGGGTTTTCCACAGGTAGTATGTGTGTTAAAGTACATAATATTCCCTCTAATCTGACATATTTCTTCCTGCTATGTCAAATCTATGTAACTTTTGTATTTATCAAACTACACGTATATTCTTCTTCACTGATCTTTCAATATCTTATTTTGAAAGAAAGTAACATATCCATTGTCTACATTCTTAAAAAAGAAAATCCATATTTGAAAGTAACAGATGAGAGTAGTCAGAAGAGACATAAAGCTTTCTCACCAGGAGTAAATAGATGCTGCTTCACTGGAATCAGTGAGTTTATGACTATATGCTCATTCATGTATACATGTGTTTTTATGTTTGTGTGAAACTTTCAGCTTTCTATTCACATTGTTCAGGAATTATAGCTGAAGACAGTGCATAGTCTGCTAGGGCAGAACATGAGTGGTTTGTTACAGAATGTGAGATATATTTTTTTTGCCAAAATCAGAGACATTCCCTTTACTTCCAGGATGCTTTGAAAATAATTTTTTTGAGATCTTTTATTTTGGGAGAATATGTATATTCAATTTTGCTTTTTGTTACTATTTCTGTGTTATCTTTTAATAGAAAAATACAAAATAAAACTCTAAGCAAGTGTCTGAGTTCTTTAGGCAAGACAAGGTAAAAGTTTGACCTTAACATATCAAAAGGGCATCTAGAACATTAACTTTTTGTTAAAATCTTCCCTACTTTTGATTCTTGAACTTCTTATAGAAGAAAACCTGCTGTGGAAAAAAAAAAAAATAGTTTAGATAACTTCAGTGTGACACTACTGTGGCCAGCAGACAGAAAATTCAAAATCATATATCCTCAAATGTAATTTGAAACTAGCTTTAGTTCAGTGCTTTTACAGAATATTTTACACATTGTGCATACGTGATATTACCAATACCTTTACAAAGGAATCTCAGATAAAACTGTTCAAATATAGTTTGGATAGATATTAAATGCAGTGCAGTGTAATCTATTTTTCCATGCCAAGCCATTCAGTAATGGGCAATATTGTCTAAATTCCACAGAACTCAAGTTTCATGAACAAGGTTAAGATCCTAACATAGGAAGTTTACCTTTTATTTCCCTTGAAACTGTTTATACAATTAATAGATTTTAGTGCACTAAGAGATCATCTACTGCCTGATCTCCTGCATTTAGTTTAATGCTTAAACTGATAACAGTGAAAGGCTAGCATGGAAACATCCTTAGGATTTAAGACATTTTTTAAAGAGGTCCTGGTATAAATACAGGAAGTTTACATAAATACATTTCTTTAGATAGTTGTGATTACCTGTTCTTATTAAGCTATTAGCATTCCCATGGAGAGCAATATAAAAACAAATAGCTAATCATTACTAATGAATGCAATGTTGATTATTATAATCTTAAATGCTAGCATGTTAATGTTAGCTTTTCATGTTAATGTACAGCACCATCAGAAATGTTCTTTGCATTTTTCTTGGAACCACTGAAGTCAAAAGGAGTTTTTGGCTCCAGAAATGAAGGGGTTTGGGTCAAGCACCAAATGGTACAGAGTTCTTGAGAGGGAAGATTTGTGGGAAAAATGTAACATACTTTGTCAGACTGGCAGCCAGACTTGGAAAAAATCCCAAACCTGATTTTTTTTCAAGTAGGTCTAATAAAATCTAGTCTAATGTAAACTGGTCTAATAAAAATATTACTTCTTCCTACAGATATTTCTCCATTCATACTTTTAGACCACCATGAATATAACTGTCATCATCCCTACTATCAGAAAATTATTATTATTATTATTGTTGAGTAGCAGAGGTTCATTCTTGACATTCTGTTCTTGACTATGCCTTTTTCTCCTTTTGTTATCACTGTAGTCAGACAGAGTGGAAATGAAGAAATTCTACCACAGCTCTATGAAGTTTCGGGTAAGCAGACCCTGTGTTACTGATGTCTTTATGTAAGTTCTAGCTGCAGGATTTCACAGGATTTTTTTCATTCACTGAAAATAACTGTTGGTTTAAGAATGTCACCAGAAAGCATTGGTTTGATGGCATGTCAGTGCTCATCAGCTGAAGATTGCCATCTTCATAAACGGTGTTTAACGCTGTTATAAATATTAGTTCTGAATAAAAATAAAATAATAAAATAGAATTAATAAAATTCTCTCTTTTGATGAATTTGTGCAAGGTCATCCCCGCACACATTGAAAGACAATAGCACAGTTTGCCAGAGATCCATTAAACAAAATAAAAAGTGTTGAAGTTAGATGATAACTCTATTTGTTGAACTCTTATGAAGTACCTTGTAGTACTGAATAGGTCATCACTCACACAAGTAAACAAAAATTCAAACTAAGATTTTTTTATGCTCATTGCACTTTGTAAAAACAAAGTTGCATTTGATTTAGGAAAATTTTTCATTTTGTTCCTAAATGTTGTTTTTGACAAAAGAAGATATGTAGTCTTATAAATTCCGGATACACATACAGCTCTGTGACGCTGAGTCCACATCTCTGACATTTCAGTAATTGTCTCCTCCTTTTCTGTGAATACTTTTGCTCCTGCTTTTTTTCAGAGTTAAATTTGTCTCAGCAACTGTGGTATCACTACTTATATGCTTGAGGTTAAGATATCCAAAAGTGCAGGATATATGCTATACAGACAAGTGAGTAGGACAGAGTCAAACTTACAGCAAGAGAACTAAGTTAAATATGTATGGTTTCATTTTAATTTCACACTTGCAGTATGCTTAGTGCTCTTGATTTCTGCAGAAACTAATGAGAGTTGAGTGTGTTCACCACATGCAAGATATAGATGTAATCTGGGAATTTGTCATATGATTAAGTACTAATCAACAGTTACTATTATTTAAGCACTTCTAACTAAATTTTACCTCCTCTTAGACATGTGTTTAGGACAGGGACAGAGGCTGTAAAAGGCTATATCAAATTTTCAGTTTGATTTGCTTTTTTCACAGAGTTCAGGTATTAGCTGCATCACATTTGCATGAAATAAAAGGTCAGTGCTGCAGGCTAGTTGCTGTCAACATGACTTGCATATCTCAGAGCAAAGGCATTTCTGATTACAGTGAGATGAAGCCTACAGTTCCACATCCCTCTTTTGTTTCCAAATTATATAAGCAACAGAGCAAGGTGTCACAAGTTTGCCACAGCTTTCTTTCTCTCCACAGAATTCTTGGAAAGAATAAAGTAAGCAGACAAGAAGAGTAATCACACAGTTGATGGGACCGCAGGGAGACGTTGAACACTTTAGTGATATGGAAAGAAGCAGCATCCAATTATAACAAAATACAGTATAAATTAAAAAAAAAAAATCTAAAAAACCCCACAAAAATTGAATTTATAATCTTATCATGAATCTGTTGTTTGGAACACATGGCTTCTGCAGGTTACAAGCAAGGAATCTAATTCATCATACTCCCCAGATTGCTTTAGGCAGCCTGGTTTTCAAAACTGTAGGACTTCCAAGAAGCACTTATGGAGTGCCCTCACTACCTACACTCACCAGTCACATGCCTACCATTTTAGTCTTGTCAAAACTATAGTTGAAATAAGAGAAGTTATTAGTAATCAAATATCTGAGATACTGTTAATAATTCCCATGAAACAGATCAAAATCTCAGGCCTGGGGGACTTAAAAGCAAGGCAGAGTAAAGCTGTTGACGTTTTCAAAGAAATAATCTTGCCTGTCAGTAGTTGGGAAGTCATGGGCTTAGCACACTGACTATTCAAATATTACACTCAGTCATGATTCAGTCTAAGAAGGTTTTTGACAGCAAGTAAATGTACTATGACTATTATGAAGTTTAAATTAAGACCTCTCTGCTCTTCAACAGCTCGATGTGATATCAGTATTGCCATTTGAAGTTTTATACATATTCTTTGGATTTAACCCAGCATTAAGAGCAAATAGGATGCTAAAGGTAAGATCTGTGTTAGCAACGGATGATTAACCACACATAAACGTATTTACAACCCAATGGAAATTTGTTTACAATATTTAGGAATATGAAATTTAGAAATTGGAAAATATCTTCAGGATAACCTACAACATTAGTGTCATGGTTTAACCTGAGCTGGTGACTAAACGCCACACAGTCGCTTGCTCACTCCCCACCCTCCACAGGACTGGGGAGAGAATCAGAAGGGTAAAAGTGAGAAAACTCATGAGTTGAGATAAAGACAGTTTAATAGGTAAAGCAAAAGCCGTGCACACAAGCAAAGCAAAACAAGGAATTCATTCACTACTTCCCATGGGCAGGCAGGTGTTCAGCCATCTCCAGGAAAGCAGGGCTCCATCACACATAATCATTCCTTGGGAAGACAAATGCCATCACTCTGAACATTCCCCCCTTCCTTCTTCTTCCCCCAGCTTTAAATGCTGAGCATGATGACATATGGTCTGAAATATCCCTTTGGTCAGTTGGGGTCACTAATTAGTGCCAATATATTTTTCCCTTCTGTTGGTAATGCCAGGTGTTTAAAAGCAAAGGAAGGAATTTTAAGGACAGCATAAACTAGATACAGCATATTTAACAAGCATAAACCCACTTTTGTTATTGAGTCCATCTGGAGTTATGCAATGAAGAGGCTGAGAAGGGGTTAGACAACAACCCTCTCCTTGCGTTTTGTGATACCTAGCAGGCCACTCTGCAGCTAAATACATTCCCCTTCAGACAATCAATATGTTGACAAAAAAAAAAAAAAAAATCCCTTTCATTTAAAGTTGGAGGGAAACACAAGAACTCTGAGAATAAAATGAGGGTGCTCTTCAGTTTCAACAAAACTTCAAAATTTCAAAAATCATAACCAAAATAATATGAAAGAATGAAAAGTTAAATAGTACCTTGTATAAGGCCAACAGACATATACTGTACAAAAACAAAGAAAAAAGCTACATGTGAATATTAAGGGCTATCACTAAAGGTAAACTACAAATAATTAAAAGAAAGAATTCGATACAGCAGTGTTTGTTACTATATGGTATCGTCTAGTAAGTGGTTGTTGATACACATGATCACTTATGGGAGAATTATTGGAATTTCAAAAAGAGAAAAAAGACAATTTTATGCATGTCATTCTCTCTGATAAAGTTGCATAAGCAATTATATATGTTTGATTAAGTAGAAGTCATTCATCTGAAGCAGTCTGACCTAAACAGCAAGGTATTTTCTGTAACCAGATTAATAGGACACTCAACACCCAAAACAACATTTAACTCAATTTTCATCTTTGCTTTGCAGTTCACCTTTTACTTAAATGTTTAAAGAAAGTCAGACTACTGAAAAATCCATTATTTTCATAATGTGTCGATGTGAACTAATGTTGGTACTATTACAAATATACGCATAGCGAAGAATACTGATTGGATTACTTTCATCTGTTTTCCACTCAGCATAACACATTCTTTGAGTTTAATGATCGTTTGGAAGCCATTCTGGACAAAGCATACATCTACAGGTATGTGCTTATTAAACTCTTGCAGCATGCAAAGCTTGGCACAGAATGCATTTAATTTGATTTCATGAGTTGTCAGTGAAGCACTGGATGGAATTTAACACTTTAACTGTTCAATTTAAGATTTTTTAAAATATCTGTCTTTATTGTAATCATTGAAATAAAAATCACATGAAATCTAGCTCAGTTCAGCTGGCCTGGTTCAGGCAATATATTCACCAAACTGAGGCTCCTGCCAAAATTTAATTGATCAGAAGTGTCAGAAAGAAGTTTCTTTAGTGAAAGAGCTAAAAAACAATTTGTTTAGGTTGCTAACAGCTGTGCCAAATCCTCAGTAGCTGTTTATTTGTACTTAATAAGAGTTGTGAGCTTGAGCCTGCGTCAATATTTTTCTTTAAATATGCTCTCACCGTGAACTTGGCATATACAGAAACTTGATCCTCCACGGCATTGACTAAACTTGGAATGAGAAACAATTCAGCATAGATCTCAAATAGTGATTACAACTGCTGTCTGCTGCACTATGTTCTCACCTTCTGCATTGACAGAAAGTATTTTGGATCCAACTCAAGCAGTCCATGGACATGGTTATGGCAAGTTTCATAGGCCTCTCAGCTGTCAGTGATGCTGCTAATACACAATGAACCTATCTACTGTGTCACCATTATTGTCATCTACTGTCAATGTCATCAGCCCTAGTTTATTTTGTGCAATTCCTACACTGACAGACTTTTTTTTCCCTGTCCCGGTTTTGTGGCATGTATTGTTTCTGTGTGCTGTTGCTGCAGAAATAAGAATCTGTTGTTTACCATCTTGTTCTGTTTCAGAGATTATTGCACTTAAATGGTAGACTTGGTATTTATATATTACAAATGAGATATTTTATGATATTTAGAAATTAGTTCTAAAATTAATTATTTTCCATATTATGGCCTTTGCTTGGAGTCATAATTCAATGACTTCTATATCTCCTATAATATTTGCAGTGAGTATTGGGATATACAGATCTTTTTAATATAGATTGGTTTGAATCAAGTAATTAGTTTGTACATAACAATAATGTTGTGTGTATACGGATTTCAAGGAAATGGGAAGAAATTAGCAAATCCATTTTCACCCAAATAAGCAGCTTTGTAATGGATAGAATTTCACACTACATAAAAGTATGGAATATAAAATGGTTGTTTAAAGGGCAAGTTGAGAATGGGATGTGTATATCTTCAAACTAGTCTTACTTTGAAGGATGTGGTATCAATTAGTGTGTCAAAAAACAGGGAAAGTGCTCATTTAGAAAGGCTAAGACACACAGAGCAAGATCTCACTGGTCCTGTAAAATGTATGAAGTAGCTGGAAAGACAGAGACAGCTACTCTGCAAGTCTGTTCTGCCTCATTAAAGTTTTGTAGCATGGTATTGGTTGAGTGCCACAACTGTGTGTTGCTGCTTGTGTCTTTCCTTCCTGGTCACAGGCCTACTTACACTTTCCAATATTAAATCACTTGCAGAATGTAAATTGCAGAATATAAATATTACAAAGTGAGTCCATTTTCTACCTCATACTTTTAAGAGGACAGAAAGCTGATATGTGTGAAATAGAGCAGTCTTCACAACTAAAATGCTCTGAAGATGTGCAGAAAAACAACAGTAGAGCACATGGGCTTTAATATTGCTCAGCACATATAGGGTTAACAGTACTGACACTCTGTTATCTATAGGCTTTCCCATCAGTGCATTGCTAAGGTTTGTGGTAGAAAATAATGCCTTTATACCGTGCTACCAAAATGTTATACTTTGTATTTGCAAAAAGACCTATTAAATACATAATGCCATTCCCTGACAGGATGCTTTAAAACATACTTCAGGAAACTGAGTAACAGTTTTTGAGGTGCTCATTGTTAAAAACATTTATACGTCAAAGATATTTTAATTGGTTTACCAGAAGGCATTAGGGTAAGGAAATAAAAAAGCCAAATGGAGAAGAGAGGTAGTTATACAGAAGAAGAAGAAAGATGGGAGCTAAAAAGTATTAAAAAGACACGCTATTTGTGCAAACTACTACATTTTATTTGAATGTAGCGAAATCAGTTTGACCTGAGACCCTGGTATGGTCATCATTTGAGTGATAAGGCACTAATTAACTGGATCATGTCAAACTAAACTCCTACTCAGCAAGTTTATGTGTCTGGTGGGATTCTCTTCTCAAACTCATTAGTTCAAGTTTGTAGGAATAGAGCTAGCAAAAGTTACTACATCTTATCTACCTATTGTGGTATGGTGGACATGTGCCTAGAGAAATATATTGTAACAAAGGCTTCCAGAACCTTTGCTCAGACCTCTGGAGTCCACTTACATGGATCCAAACTTGTGCACAAGACCCAGCATGGTCAATATTGCAATATTATTAGATCACATCAGCTATCTGCTGTTCTCAATAGCTTCCAACCCTAAAGAGAGCAATCCTGGAAGCACACCAACATTTAAACAGAGAAGTGGCATTAATTTCTCAACATCCTAAAGAAGAAGAGTACATGTAGGTAGATTACTCAATGGCACGGAGAGGCAAAGGAGGGCATGCAATGATACCTGAAGAACCAGCAAAAGAGTGCATAATATAGAAGCAACCACAGAGATACTATCTCCCATTAACTTAATTTATAGACCTAACTTAGATCTTATTAAATTTTCATAAAACCACTGCATTGAATTCTAGCTGTAGCAGATAGACTCATTATGTACCATCCTCCTTGTGTTTAGGCAAGTGCTATACTTTTCCTGCTTATTTATCTCTTGCCTGTATGAACACTTGAACCGAGAGCAACATCCAGGAGATTTTTCTTTTGATCCCCATGTACTGAACAGAGAATATACAATGAGATCATTAGTGTATTAAACAGAACATTGCTTCATGCTTTAGTTCATTGGTGTTCTTCAAAGAACTGGCCATAAGCATAAGAACTGGGATTAGGAATTATATAACTTCTGCTGCAGCCACTAAATCATACTATTTAACAGATCTACTGTAGGTTTCCTAGCACAGCTCCTGTAAAGCAGTTCATTTCTGACCTCAGACATTTCTTGGCTTTGGTTCACATATTTAGAGCCTATCTTGAATGGAGTTTGGCAAACACATTAATTTGTACTCTCTAGCCTTATTAATATAGCTTCAAATTTCTGTAAACATTCATAGCCAGTTAAAGAAGTCCTCAGGGAACCATAATTTTAAAATTACCCTACGTCAAATATTCTAGGAAAGATATTTATTTGACCTTGGGCAAATGTGAGAGGCAGGTAACTGCCAGCTATTTTTTTGACAGTATCAATACAAGTGGGCAACTACTTAGTGGTTGCTTAACATAAACGTTGTTGATCCAAAAAAGTAATGGATTCCATATTAAAAGGAAGGAAAAATGTAAGTTGTTTTACGGGAATCTTTTTACTTTTATAGGGTCATTAGAACAACTGGATACTTGCTGTTTATCCTGCACATTAATGCATGCCTGTATTATTGGGCTTCAGAATATGAAGGACTTGGCAGCACTAGATGGGTGTACAATGGCAAAGGAAACATGTAAGTCCTTTTCTCTTGGAAGAGATTTTTGTTGATTTTGCTCCTTCCTGCATCCCCCTCCTTTTCCCATACCTTTGCTTGCAGGGTACACCCTTACTTTACAAGTGCTTGGGTAGCAAACTTTTAGCACCGTGACTGCTGATTAGCAGCTCTCATCACTAACACATATTTCCAGGGCAGGTGCAGTGAATCAGTTTATCACTTTCAGCTTTTATAGGTTTATAAGTCAGTGCTAAGCACTAACTTAATTAAACATTTAGAAAGCAACAAGGGTCATAAATTAAACTTACTGATAGCGTACACACATGGGAACTGTTAGAAGGATTGCATAACAATCCCTCAAAGGAATCAGAGACATGGATCTTTTTTCTGACACACAACATTGTGTCATTAAAATACAACATTTTAGTCCCTCTAAACACCATGCTGATTGCTCTGAAAAAATCCCACCCACTTTCTCTGATCTTTTGATAAGGTCATGCTTAAACATGTGGTGGAGTGTCTCCAGTGGGAAGGACTGGATATTGGCACACTTTTCCACAGACTCCTTGTGACAGCACTAAGCTGGGTGCCAAGTAAGGGACGTTCATTAAGATGATGGAAAGGAAGCAAGAGAAAATTGCAAAGGCATAATATATTTTGTATGTAGTTATATAATCTATAGGTTCAGCTATATGAATATTCATTTCTTTCAAGGGCCATAATACATTTAAAGCCACAAAATCTCAACCTTTTCATTAATGACATTTTTTCAAAACCATATATAATATACTACTGCTGTCATAAATCACCCTTTAAACAACTTTTCACCTTTCTCTTGAAGACATGCTCCTCTTGCTTGTAATTCTGTCAGACTTCACGAGTTTGGTGTGAAGTCACTATCTTGAAGGGTAAGAAAATAGCCTTTAAGATTAAAACACACTTAGTGTAAAGCAGCATTGATTTTTTATAATTAGGGCACTTTTTCAAGAAAATGACATGGCTGAAGTTTCCACACACCACTAAAATACACAGCTTGAGTACTGCAGTCAGACATGTGCAAGCAGGGTCATGGACCTCAGTCGGACCACTTACGTGAGCGAAGTTATATACAGGTTTATTTGCAGGATCAAGGCTTCCAGAAATCTGACAAGAAAAATGCAGAACTAATTTCCATTATAGCTATTTTTGTTAATACTCACCACATAATTAAAAAATAAGGTTACTAAGACCAAGCAACCTGAAAACTCTGCAAGTAGGTCATGTACTCAGTCTTCATGTTTTTAATGCTTCCTCAGAACAGCCTAGAGAATGGGCAAGAAAGTCTTCTTGTTTCTCACAGACAAGAATATTTTTACATTTCACGCAGGGAAACAATTGGTAGAAATTATTTGCTATCTTGATTGCAGACAATGCAGTTGTGCCGAGAGGCACTGGTCAGGTTTTTTAATGTTTGGGATACCTTTTCCATGGGGAGGAAAAAAAAAAACGTCTCAAATGACGTGACACTAAAATCACATGGGATTTAGGGAATATTTTTTTATCAACAATAATAATAAAGTGATAATTCAAGGTCTGTATTAAACCAAGATGCTGAAATAAAGTGTATACTAGAATATATCCACGTAAGCCTCATTAAGCCATTAATCTACCTCATCTTAACATTGGTGAATGTATGACTTTAATCTTTTGCCTGTATCTAACTCATGCTGGATTACGTGGTCCCATGGACATGGAACCCCAAAGAGTATCCCATGTTGAACTGCATTTCATAAAGTGTAGCTTGGTATCCCACTAACAGCAAAGGAGCTCTGTATGGGATAGTCATCACCTTAGAGAATCAGGCATGACACGTTATTCGATTGTCGAATATTTAGGGATTTTTGTCAGAGAGGAATTGTATGAACATTAGTTATTACTGGAGATGCAACGTGAATTTAAACATATCAGACAAATACTTCTATGTATACTCATTTCTTTGGAAAGCATGAATTAAGAACAATCCAGGAAAAATCTGTCAGATAAAGTGACCAGAACTGCAGTATGTATTATGGCACAGTAGTGCAGATGTAGTTTCATTTCACATAGCAGTCAGAGTTGCCCATATTTGAAACAAAATATGCCATTGGTCTCATGTAGAATGGGAATGTGTTCAGAAAGAAGATAAGACAAACATGGCTTCTTAGCTAATTAAAAAAAAAAAAATACAGTAAGCAGTTTGACAAATAAATCAAAATTCTAGTGGTTTCAGATTACACTAACCCAAAGCAAATGATCTGGCACTGATTTGGTGGCGTGAATGTTTTATGTAGATTCCCTGCTGTGTCCATAAAATTTTGTTAGTTATGGCCAAAACAAGTTCTTAAAAATGTCAGCACTCCTAGGATCATTTTTTTTCCTTTCCAGGCTAAAAAGAATACACAGACAACCATTTCCCTTATCAGTTTGATTATATATATATATATATATGTTCCTGAGCAGATATACTAACTGGTGAACTTCAATTTGTAGCTAACAGCTGTACACAGCACTGAAACCACAAGCAAATTTATCAAAGTGTCTCTTTTTACAAATTTCTGCTGGCTGTATTCTTTTCCAGCTAAGTCCAGACTTTAAAGTGTTAGTGCCAGTCCAAGAATATTTGAGGTCAATTGCATGTCAGCCTTCAATTAAACCCTTTGACCTGAGGTGCGAAAGGCAGACAACTTTAACCCCTGCAACACAATCAAATTAACCATACAAGATGTTCCCAACATTAAAACTACATTCCTGAACTTGATATAAATAGGCAGACAGACCTCAGTGTCTCCTGATGCAGAAGGGTACTACCCCTGATGCAACACCATAGAGTATGCAGGATATTGAAAAGGTCTCTTAATTATAGCTAAGTGAATAATTTGAAATGTATGTGTTTATTTACAATCTAATTTAACTACCTAAGTAAGAGATCACTCTCCTTAATTCCTCAGGAAAATGGACAAATCTAGAAAGGTATTCAAGGCAGGAATGTAATGTTGTTCATAGTTTTCAAATGGAAGTATTTGTCACTTTCATCACTGTCCAGAAGGGAAACTAAAACCAGGGAGCTGAAATTCTCACACAAACCTCCCCAGGTCAGCATTAAATTTAGGCAGAACAAATAATTTCACTTTGCTTATGGTATATTTCTTCTACTGTTTGCAGGTTATCCACAAGCAGCCTGCAAAATTATCCAGCATATTAATTAATCAATACATCATCTATTTGCATCCTGATTATGTTTCTCTGTAGCTTTCTGCCTTCGTGCTTTGGGCACAGATTTAGCGGATATCTGGAAGTCCAAGAAAATGGTCACTGTGTGTGTCTAGAACTCTACTTCTTCAGTATGCATTGCCCAGTGTGCAGTAAGACTGGCATATCTTAAAAGGTGTCTCATGGGTATCAGATATACATTCTGCTTGCAGTGGTGTGACGTGCCATGCTTGCTATACAGAGGCAGTTTTGTTCCTCCAGACGATCTGTGAATGTACAGCCCAACTCATAAGTATGTCAGACCTGACACTTTCAGACCTGCTACTTGCAGCCCTACTTTTTAGATAAAAGCTTTGTAATTTACACCATTCTGTCTGAGATCATCACACACACAGCCACCAGATGAACAAGTTACTCAAGATAAAGAGGCCCCAAGAAGGAGGTCTTTAGACTACCAGTCCATAAAGGCCATGTCTTTGGTTGTCATCTGAGAGGAGTCGAACATGATAGCCCTGAAATAATGCTTCTCTGAGCTGAAACAAATGTGTGAATAGCACTTTAAAATCTGATAGCCACATGCACAAAGATTTGATTTACCTGTATTAACCAAAACCATGTAAGAAGTTTAGCGCATTCCAAAACGGACTTCTATGAAAAAGATATTTCTATTGGCATAATATTACAAGGTATCTTATTTGCAGTGTTTCTGATTGTTTTCATACCTAGGACTTATTTTAGGGGAAAATCTAGTAGTTTGATTGCCTGAAGGATAAACATGCTCTCTATGCTGCACAGAGGGAAAATGTCTTTCTTGTCTCATGTTGTTTGCTTCAAGAGTAATTTTATAGCAGGCTAGCAAGACATTTGGTGATCAATTATGGTTTCCAGACAGTAGCTAGTAGGAAGCAGACCTGCTAATACTGTTGAAATAGGAGTCAGTTTTTTCTGGCTGTCCTTAAACAAAATTTACAATCTCATTTCTCCCCTTCTTAGAGAAAAGGCTGTTTTATATTTCAACTGTGTAACTTTAATTTCAGATTAAAATAAAAACAATAAAATGCATAAATAGAAATAATATAAAACCTGTGCCTAAGAGATAGTGAATATCACATAACTTTGCCAGTAGAAAGTTCCTTTTGAAGTAAAATTACAGAAGAATATACTGTATTAACTACATCTTCAGAAAGGGGTGGGCAGATCTGAAAAAAATCCCTCACATTTTGGATATACAACACTGCAAAGAAGAACGTGATCCCTAAATTCCTTTGCTGCATTTATTTTCTTTAGACATTCCCAGAACGAAGATCATATTGTCTGTCATGGTGGACTTAGCAAGCCTGGCATCCAAGGCCATTGGGAGTGAGGGAGTTGGTTAATTACTTTTGTTTCCTATAGTAACTAGCACAGAAGTAATGCTTATTTCTTTACTTTTATATTCATAAATTGTACGTGTTTCAAGCACTAGACCGTTCTCAAATATGGCAAATAAATATGATATTAATATGCTTTATATGATAATTCCCCTCAGACAAGATAGAGACATCATTTTATGCTTAAATCTGCAATTCTTCCAAAACAGATCTGAGGCTTTTTCTTACTATTTATTTATGCTACAGAAGTCTAAGAGAAAGCTGCCACTTATGCATACTTTGCTGGAAGCGTGCATACGTGATGATTTATTTTGAACCTAAGTGAAAATATTACAGTGGTGTAATCCCACCGTTCATTCAGCACCCCTAAGAAGGAAAAATTATGTAATGGCAGGTATGCAATGAATTTTTTTATTTAAGGACTCTGAGTGAAAACAGCCATTTCTGTCTCTTAAAACCTAAAACTAGAAATCCATGATAAAAGCGATCATTGTTACTGCATTTCATTAATCTGCAACCAAGAAAATAGTGACTTCATAATGAAAAGCAAAAATAGGTTGCTTGGTAAAGCCTGACATTTTAGGTGAAAGGCTTGGAAACACTTTTGAATGATTTAAATAAAACCCTCATTGGAACTGGTTGTTATTGTGAGTTTATTTTCTCATATTTGCACAAAACTGACCCTCCAATTGTAACATTACATGGAACATTTATTAACAGGAGTGGAATTCATATCTTAATAAAAGAGGAGTTTAAAAGTGGAGGCCACCAAATTAAAATGTAGACCTGAGGTCTGCAAGCAGTTCAGGTGACCTCGGATTCAGGGTAGGCATGAGAAGATGCATGTGAGACTACCTATTTCAAAAAAAACATCTCCAAAAGTATTTCTTCTGTTGGCTTTTTTTTAAATTACTATTTCAAATTGGATAAAATTCAACAAATAGAAGGAATCTTTATTGCTTCAGAAGCAATAGTCATAAATGAAATAACAGACGATCTCATTGTACAATTAAGGAAAATGAAGCTGAAGTCTGAATGTACAGAGACATAGGAAGTCAAATTTGAATTAATAGGAGGTTTTTAAAAGTATTCTTAAACCAATTACTTGTTAGCTCAGAAAAGAAGGAAATAATAGCACATTCATGACAATGATTTGAATTAATTAATCCCCACTGCACAGTTTGCATTACTAGTGGTGCCATGTTCTAGGATAAAATTTAAAACAGAATATTGGAGATGCCAAGGCACTTTATACATATATTTTTAAAAGAGAGTTAGTATGGCTATCCTCACCAAAAAAAAAAAAATAAAAAAAAAAAAAAAAAAAAAAATTGTCCACGTCCTTTGTTGTTCTCATAAAATTGTTTTACTATATTAATAGAAATACACTGCTTGAATGCAACGGGGTCTGCCATACAGGGCTGTACAAAGAGTGCTGTGCAAACAGAACAAAAAAGTCTTTGGCAAAAGAGCTTACACTTCAGGTATGAGAAGTGACAGACAGAAGACAGGTACTGTGAGGGAGTCAATATAAGCCATATGTTGAAGCAGAGTCTGAGTGACTGAACATTGCACACTGCTATATTTGGTTTTTAGATCAAGAGTTCTGAAAGGAGTCTTGAAGGGTGTTAACAAGGTGGTTTTGCAGCCATTGATGAACTACTTTTCCCAAGCATGAGGGAAAGTAGTGAAGAAGGCAAGAAAGCATTTGTTAAGGCATCAGAAGGGGTAGTGGAGGTCAGCCACTAGGGGAAGCTAAAGCAGGAGTCAGCCTTTCAGTGTTGAGTAAGTGAAGTGGTTTGGAGAAGCTGGATTAACACACAGTGTGTGGAAATGTGTAACTTCTAATTGACATAACCCAGGAGGCAGAGCCAATGAAGAGTGTTCAAAAGCAGAGTGGGAGGAAGATCAACGTGGTTAAAGGGGCAGGAAAATAAATGGACACAAGAACACTGCATTTGCTGCGCCCACCGTAAGGCTTCACACTGGTGTCATCAAGTGAAGCCAAGGAAGAGACCTTCAGATGTGTGTGCATCTAGTATGCTACAGATAAACTCTGTAAAGTCTCTATCACTTTTACACTGCTTTTAACACCACGGCATCTTCACTGGTACCGTTCTAACACTGTGATATCTATCCTGGCATTTTGTTACAGAAGTCTTCTGTAATGCTGCATAGAGTTACTGGAGAACAGTAAGTAACCGCTGCATTTCCCATATATTCTTATTTTGCTCTCAGTGAGAACATTCAGCTAAATATGATTTGTAAAATCATAACCCTTTAGAAAACATGTGAAATGTCTTTTGAACTGAAAAACATCACTCAAAGGCCCATCTCAGGTAGGTATATGCTTGACTTAAACCACACAAATACCTGCAGTCAATAACAAAAATGCTGTCTGTATCCACAGGTATCTGAGGTGTTACTACTGGGCAGTTCGGTCTTTAATCACCATCGGTGGCCTTCCAGAACCACAAACTCTGTTTGAGATAATTTTTCAACTGCTGAATTTTTTCTTGGGTGTCTTTGTCTTCTCCAGCTTAATTGGTCAGGTACATAAAAGAAATCAGTAACTAAATAAGCTTAAATTACTGTAATGTACTGATAATATATTTGATTTAAAGCCAAGACTCTGCAGGACACAGATGATTCTTGTAACTATGTATAATTTCTTTTTTCTTCCTCACAGCCAAGGGGACAGTTTCTTGATATTCACATTATGCTATTAAATCTGATATAAAAATTATAATTGCAGGCATGATATTAATATGTACAAATTATTGAATAAGTCACACTTGACACTACTGCCAATAGAATACTATTAATGAAGATCCCATTATTTTTGTCAAACTAGAATTCTGCTCTCTTACATAAATTACAATATATTTGTTAGCCTGAAAATTAACTGTTTTCTATTTCTCCTGGTTCTCATTTGGTGGGAGGAAAAAAGAAAAAAAGTCCATAATACAGCAAATCAGTTATATTTCCAAATGAATTTAACTGAAATATTTCTGGCTTGTAACTATTAAATTTGAGCTTTAGATCGATAGGTTTTAAGATACCTTGCTTACAGAAAAACAAATGCCATGGTTCCTGTGTGAGACTGTGTCTTATCAGATTCCTATACAAATCATTCCAGACCTTCTGATTTGCACATGCTTGTTATTGGAAGAAATATTATGAAAAAATAAAGTTTAAAACTGAAATTTAATTTTAATTTTGAATATAGGATTTGAAAAGTTCGATCAAACAGTGAAAAACTGCATATGTCTCTTGCCATTTATAAGTGCAAGAAGATATAACGATCATTAAATAAACTCTTGCATATAGGATTTAAAATTCATCCATAAACAAGTATTACCAAAAACAAAACAAAGGAGTTCATATAAAATATTTCTTCTGTAAAACTACTAAATTCAAGTATATTAGATTACACTCCAGAGTATGCATATTTATATTTTTTTCCTAAATTGATATAACTGTCAATGAAAGCACCGTTCCTCGAGAAGATTCTGCAGATTAGTTTTTGCAACCAGTATAGTCACTTGCAGACTCAATCCTTAACACACAAAGAGCTTCAATGCAGTTTTTTATAATTCCTGTTTAAAAAGAGCTCTTACAATTACTGAGTTATTCCTGGTTTAGCACACTTGCCTGAAAATTGCTATTCCTACTGCAATCAAATGTATCTCTGTAATAAAAAGTACAGTTCAGCCCACTGGCACAGTAATCCTTGGCCACTGCAATACGAAGCCATTCTACTAAAAACCACGTCTGTATAGCTATGCTTTTGAAGAAGGAACATCTATGAACATTAACTCATCTGCTTTCTAAAAACTAAATTATATTTGCATTGGAATGTTAAATACGTTCCTGCACTAAAATTTCAAGGTCACCTTTCAGCTCAAAGTGCATTTTTAGGACTGATCTAGATTCCCTTAACTATTTAAACAGTGGCAGGATCTTAATTCTATTGGTGCTAGCTGATGCTATTAGAGAAATTTAGCCTAGTTTGCTTCACTTCTGACTTGCAATGCACACCAAATGCAGAGTGGCTTTATTATGGATTTTTAAGAAAGTATTATCTATATTTTTCATCCCTGTCTGGAAATATAAGACAGAAGAATAAGCTAAAACCCATAAATCATTCCTTTAAAATAATAAATAAAGACTTTTCAACACAATTAGATTAAATCCGTAATGTTTCTAAAAAAGTGGATGAAGTGCCTATTCAAAACATGCAGCTGAATGTAAAATTAATCAGTGAATTTGCAGACAAATGTTTTATTCTTGTTATATGTTGTTGACAAGATATGCAAATCAAGACTATTTTTTGCTGAAACATTTAGTAACAAGAACTGATGTTTGCAGATGAGAGATGTAATTGGAGCAGCTACAGCAGGACAGAACTACTACCGTTCCTGTATGGACAACACTGTCTCCTATATGAATACTTATTCTATTCCCAAAGTGGTCCAAAATCGTGTTCGAACCTGGTATGAGTACACATGGGACTCTCAGGGAATGTTGGGTAAGGTTTTCCAATTCCAGTTACATAGCAACTCCAAGGCAGAGCAGTTGTATAGATGCCGATATAGGGTGAAATTTACATTTCTCCTTTTCTGAGTTGCATGAGAGAAGTGAGAGGAGTGTATTCAATTTATTCTAGAATAGAAAAAAACTCCAAAGCAATATGACACTTACTACTTCATAAATTCTAGTAATTTATATAATATTCTGGTTATAACTTCAGGCAAGATACGTAACTTAAATGACAATATCTTAGTAAAAGCATATTAGCAGTTTCCTAATTTGAACTCATAAATGCTAGAATAGCTCCATTAAGTTATTTTTCTGTACAATGCTCATTTTTATGGACATTCTTTAATTCTTCCTTATATTTTCTAACTAAAAGATTTTTGTTTTGTTTTGTTTTTTCTTTTTACAGATGAATCAGAATTACTGGAGCAGATGCCAGTCAGAATGCAGTTGGCCATTGCAATTGATGTGAACTTTGCCATTGTCAATAAAGTTGACTTATTCAAAGCAAGTAGTTTTAGAGGAGAATGCAAACTGTGTGGTATTCCTGAGACAGAAACCTTGTGTTGTGCATCTTGTAACACTTTAGAACATGTTTGTTAATATGCAAGGCAAAATAGGTCTAAGAAATATTTCAATTAATGGACACATGTTAGGACAAAGCCAAGTGCCTGCCTTTGAATTTTTGTGTCAAAGCAGAGATTAGAAAAAACTAAAAAATGAGATTAAGGCACAGTCCTGTTATAGTGACATATTAAAGCTGATGTTATGGTCAGACTGTAAGTGATTTCAGAGTATAACTAGTCTCAAGAGTCAGACATAGAAGAATGTAATTTTTAGTACAGCCCACCTTGCTGTATGCCACCTAGAACTGCCTGAGAGATCACTAAAGCTATGTGTTCTAGCAACATATCTTTGATGTAGCGAATTATATTTTTAGTAACTCTTCGTGCAAAAGAGCTTTCTCTTTGTTATCAAGATAATTTTCCACCACATTTTAAATGTGGTACTTAAGATTGGATGTTTGACAACAAAACCAAGGAGACAGTGCATTTTCAAAAGTAGTCTCAACGTACAGTAAACTTAAAATTGATTTGTTTGTTAGGATAATTGAAAAAAAAAAATCATGATATGTCTGTATAAACATTCTGTAGTTGCACATTTTCTGTCACATTTGCTAAAGACATGTGATTCAATACCAACATGATCTGGTTTTTTTCCCCCTTGATCATTAAAAAAAAAATCCTGGAAGAGACCCATAAAGCTGTGAACACAGCACTAGCTGAACTTCCACAGTAAATTTAGATATGTAGAAGCTTCCTTTGTAAAAAATGAAGAAATGTTAAATGCAAATTGAACTTAATAAGTACCTGAAATGACAATTCTTTCAGTCTTTTCTCTGCTCTAAAAGCTGATCTTTATGACATTTTGAATTTGCAATCCACTTATGAAGCCCCGGATCATTCATGTGTTGTTGTGTTTTGCTGCCCAGTGTAAGCACTAATAATCACTTGTGTTACTGAATTAATAGAGCAATCAATTCTATTTTAACAGGGTTGTGATACTCAGATGATATATGACATGCTGCTAAGATTGAAATCCATTGTGTATTTACCTGGTGACTTTGTCTGCAAAAAGGTGAGTGTTGTTGTCTCTTTCAAATAATACTTATAGTCTGTATTTTAGAAAAAGAGTTCAGACATCAGTCAGCAGTACCCTTTAAATAAAATTAATGCTGAGTGAATTAGATAGCACAAAAGTAATTAAGGTACTCTGTGGAATAATAACAAATATGCTCTCAAGTTTCAACCCAGAACAAGACAATATGGATTTTATTACTTATATTATCAAGCATAAAATTATAGCAATATGGGAAAGTACTTAATATGACTTATCTAATGATACATAATTAAGTTTTAGTATTTAAAATTAAGCAAGCTTAATTTTATAAATATATATACATATAAACCTACCTTACAGATCTCTGCATGTGCTCCATTTGTGTACTCAGAAACTGTACGTGAATTATCCAAGAATCTAAAAAATACACCGCATCCCATACCGCTCCTTGCAGCAGGATCTGATCTTGTTCTGCCTTCACTCACAGCTTTGAGCCATCTCCAGACTTCCAGCTGAACGGTGTCACACTGTCCCTTAGCGAAGCCGACTACCTTCTCTTAGTATTTTGACTCAAACACGGCCTTACAGTGGCACAGGTAGATCAGTTTCTGACCGGGGTGAGGTACCAGCACTGTTACTGTTCTGGCAATTGACCCACAGCTCATACCACACCCAGAAGTGACCATCAGAACCCCTGAACTTGTCTTTAGCAGTTCTAGCCCAGCATGAAGCCACTGAGGCAAAGGGCTCCGGAGCAGGGGATCGTGCCGGGGGACCTTTCCTGAAGCAGCAAAACTGCAGCTCAATCAGCCGAGGCCAAAGCGCTGGCACAGAGGGTGCCATAGCCCCCCATTCCCAGAGCTCCAGCGAGAGGGACAACTGGCATGGCATGGCCATTGCCGAGGCCACTGTGACCACAGC